AGATGTTTTTAGACTACAATTCCCATCATCCCTTAACACTGGTCCTGTTAGCTAAGGATGATGGGAGTTGTAGTCCCAAAACATCTGGAGGGCCGAGTTTGCCTATGCCTGAGTTATGCTGTTCCCCATGTCATTTAAATGGCAGGGATTCAATGGATTCAAACTAGTAAAAAAACCACTACTGTAGTGTCGGGAATTCTGCAGTCTCTGGGCCTAATTAGGTCCACCAGGCCAAATTTGGCCACCACAACGTATTTGCTGGGCTAGGCTCACCTATCACTCATTTGCTGTCATATGACATCATGCATCACACAGGTAAAGCTGCAGCTGAAAAGGAACAATCAGGAGCCTTTGAGGGCATTCTCAAAGGTACCGGTAACTGACAGGTGAGCAGAGCCACCCACCTGTCAATGTAGCCTAAAAAGGTTGGCCACTTTTGCATCTGTCCCTCTGTGCAAAAGTGGTTTCCCCACTCCTGTCCAACGATCTCAAAGGCCTAAATCCAGTAGGTCACATATCCACCACACATCTCACAGTGCTTCCACTCATAGGAAATAGTCGTTTCCAGCAGTGGCTGCCCAATACATTTTTATGGGACAAATTTGTCCTGCACAACCCATAGGTGAGATGTAAGCAATTGGGGCAACCTATAGGTGTCATTCACTCTCCTGCCTGAACTCTCACTAATTAATAAGCATGTATCTACGTATCAGGGACGCGGGTGGCGCTGTGGGTAAAACCTCAGTGCCTAGGGCTTGCCGATCGCATGGTCGGCGGTTCGAATCCCCGCGGCGGGGTGAGCTCCCGTCTTTCGGTCCCAGCTCCTAACCACCTAGCAGTTCGAAAGCACGCTTAAGTGCAAGTAGATAAATAGGTACCGCTTTATAGCGGGAAGGTAAACGGCGTTTCCGTGTGCTGCGCTGGTGCTGGCTCGCCAGAGCAGCTTCGTCACGCTGGCCACGTGACCCGGAAGTGTCTCCGGACAGCGCTGGCCCCCGGCCTCTTAAGTGAGATGGGCACACAACCCTAGAGTCGCACACGACTGGCCCGTACGGGCAGGGGTACCTTTACCTTTTTTTATCTACATATCTGGAATGATTTGGGTTATATGGGCACACATGGAAATATAAACATGTAATGATGCAAACATGCCTGAGAGTTTTTGGTTTCTCAGAAGTAGGAATGGAGGAAAAATTTGATTCACTTTGCATTCAAAGATGAATCTACCTAATTTGCACTTTCTTAAACAACATTTGACCCAAAACACAACCATCCTTCAAAATTTACACTTCTTTGAACTTTGCAGTGCAGTTCTCTAGCCAAGTAATGTGTGTAAAAATACGTATACTAGAATACAGCCTGCATTAAAACGCACATATTAGTGAAAATAACATACAATAACATACATATTTTGTATGAAAATAACATACAAAATATTACAGAAAATTAAAAACATAAAAGAGCCCTGCAGGATCAGGCCATAGGTCCATCTAGACCAGCATCCTGTTCTTACAGTGGCTAACCAAATTGCCAGTGGGAAACCTGCAAGTAGCACCCAAGCACAAGAGCACTCTCCCCACCTGCAGTTTTCAGCAACTGGTATTCAGAAGCATTGCTGCCTCCAACCACGGAGGCAGAGCCTAGCCATTCTGGCTAGCAGCCATTGATAGCCCTCTCCTCCATGAATTTGTCCAATCCTTTTTTCAAGCCATGCAAGTTGGTGGCCATCACTGCCTCCTATGGGAGCGAGTTCCATAGTTTAATTGTGTACTGTATTTTGATTTGGAAAAATGTGTATATTAGGGAAACCTGCATACAATTGTTTATATTAAAATTAATTTATACTAAAATGAATTTTCATGAGAACTTTAAAAAATAGATATTACAAACTGATGTACAAATGTGAAGAACTGAAAAGATTAAGAAATGAAGGAAACTCAAAATATTCAGCTTCGCCCATTCATACTTAGAGGTACATGGTCCTGTTTCAAAGGACACTGAGACAAAGAACATAAGGAATGCCTATGATGGCTCAAATAAAGGGTCCATGTAGTCTAGCATTTCCAGTGCCCTTGAGAAGCCCTATAGAAATAAGTCATCCCCTGTTGCTTGCTCCCAGCATCTCAGAGTCATTAGGTATACCCAGGGCTGGCATCACTGAGCAACAGCCAAAGCCCACAACCCAGCAGGAAGACCAGCGCTAACTTCCAGAGCACTCTGCTCTCGCTCCTTCTCCTTGTTGCTGTTGTCTGTTTACCTAACCCCCTCCAAGCATGCAAGCAGTAACAAGACATTGAAGCAGAGGACAGACTGCATTGGCAAGGGGTTGGACTAGATTACTTTTAAGGTCCCTTCCATCTCTCTTATTCCAACATCAGAGATTCCAGCATGAGAAACAGCAGCAGCCTCCACTTGTCTTGCCCTTTTTTGGGGTGGGGGAGTGGTATGAATTTAGGCCAGAGGGAGAACACCAAGTGAATCTGAAACAGTGATAATGGCAATGGAGGAAGCCCTGAGGACTTCTTGCCCCCCCCCAAAAAAATCTGTTGCTAACACTGGATATGATGCCTCTAAATATGGAGGTCCCATTGAGCTGCTAGGGTGAATAATTTTTCATAGATCTATCCTCCATTAATTTGACCAAACTTTTTTTAAAGACATCTGTGCTAGATGCCATTCAGCATCTCCTGGGGTCACAAATTCCATACATTAAGCTTGTGTTTTATGAAGTGTACTTTCTTTGATCAGTCCTGAAATTATGGTGCCATCTCAACTTAACTGAATGGTCCTGGGTTCAAGTCTCAGTTGTTGCTTCTAGTATTGGGAGTAAGAGACCACAGGCAATAAATAGCTAAACTCTCCCCACTCCTTCACTTCAGCATAGTCTGGGGGGTGAGAGCCTGATTTAAAAGAAGTTCCTAGTCAGATGTAGGAAATGTTGTCCGCAGCACCAAAATAAGTGGTCAGGCATCTCATACATTTGTGTGAATGTACAAACACATCTTTATTATATAACAGTAGCATTATAGAGTAGCAAAAGCTATATGCCAAAACGTCTTTGCTTCCAATCTTAGCCATGCAAATCCATTGGATTGCCTTAGACAAGTCAAAAGTTCTCAGCTTCATGCAACCCAATGCCATCTTCAAACAATGTGGGGATTAATATTAATACCATGGGTCTGCCTTACAGGACTATTGCAAGCATGTCTAGGTTAATGTACGAGAAGCAGCTTTAGTATTCAATGAGAATATCCAGGGTGGCTAAATCAGGGAGCAGGAGGTAGGCAGGAAAGGGTCCCTTCTCTATTCTTGCAGCAAGTACTGTTATGAGAGTAGTTAAAATAGCAGCGGCTCTTTGGTGTGCTTTTTCTGAACCTATTTCTCCCATCACTTCTGGGATGGAAGAAACCTGTGGCCTTCAGGCACTGAAGTGATCATAGGAGTCAATTCATTGCAATGAAACAAGAAAGTATTGTGTATTCGTTAGCATGTCAGACCAAGACCCGAGAGACCAGGGTTTAAATCCCCACTTAGCCATAAAGCTCCCAGGATGAGACTGGGCCAATCACCAACTCTCAGTCTAACCTACCTCACAGGGTTGTTGTGAATATAAATTATGGAGGAGAACTACATGCACTTCCTTGGGCTCCTTGGAGGAAAGGTAAGTTATAAATGTAATAATATCATGCAGGGCCTCACTTGCCAAAGTGAACAGGGGGACCTGTAAATGCAGCAGGGCTAACTTACCAAATTTTGAAGCAAGTGAAGTAATACAAATTTTAATCTAAAAAGGAAGGCCCACATTTAAGTCCAGGGTCTAATTAAATGACTGCACTACTGCCTTCACCCTCCTCCTGCAGTTTCTTGTGGGTGTCCAATTGAATAAATACTAATTATCAGACAGCGAGTTCACAATTCACTATTCATCACTGCTTGGTTCAACCCACATTTTGAACTTTTCCAAGTATGTGGTAACCATACACAAACACACTTTGGGTACGCTTCACCCTAAAAAAAGAAGTAGTGGTGGGAAACAGCCCTCAGCCCCAGTGCCTCAAGGCAACAAGCGATGAAGAAACATGTGTTACCTTTGCAGGGACGCCAAACTCCACTCTCCATCTTCCATCTTCCGAGGCATCACTTGCATTGCTATATTCATAATCTGGATTCACATATCACTCAAAGAATGCATTTCTCTTTCTCTCTCTCACACCCCTCTGTTAAACACAGATTTCTAGTTCTCTAATATATATAGCTTGGGCTGCACCACAAAGTTTTTGTTTTTTGTTTTTACTCTCAGCTGTAGTCAAAGGGTTAATTTATAATTCTATAAATGGACCATTTTCTGCTAAAAAGACATCTCGTGGTACAAGCCTTCCCTTCTCTTATTCTCCTTCACCTGGGAAAACATACCAGGTCAATGCCCAAAATGTTCAAAGAGCAAAGGCCTTACTTAGCTGTTTATATATTCTAAGGATCTAGTGGCATAATCCATGCTAACAGTTCCAAAAATAATCCACATTTTTTCAGAAAGAGACAGTAGATTGTCCATGCAGCGGTATAAGTTTGTTCTCCCATAAATGTTTGAATAAACATAGCACTCAAAAGTGAGTGAGTGCATGCAGATGGTTGCCACAGAATCCAGATTGCAGTTTTTCCTAGAGTGGGCAGTGCTACAATTTCCCCTACCTTGCAAAACCCAAGAAATAAACACAAGCAGCCAAGATCTGCTTCCAGACCCCCAAATGCTGCATATACTCATATATAAACAACCTTGTCCTCTACGTAGCAGTGGCCAGTGCCCAGCTGACAAGCGCATAATCAAACAGCTGCTGTTCTACTCATTTCATCTTCCAGGGCTGCAATAAACACCCGTAAGGCATTTGCCCATCTCTCTCTCTCTCTCTTCCTCTCTCTCCACACACACACACACACACACACACACGCCTTGTGCATCTGCAAAAGCAATTAGAGATTTAAAAAAGCAAGAGGAGTCTTACATTTGGCTTGCTGGGGGGCTGCCTGTTCCTGCGGTTGGGCCTGGGCCTGTCTCGGGTATAATGCTCCAATTTCTCTCCTGCAGTCGGCAGGTCCATAAGGGATTGTGCGGATGCAGGCTCTGTGCAAGGAAGCAGCCTGCTCCCAGCTTCAGCATCCTTTGTGGAGGCAGGGCGTGACTTCACGGAGGCACGGCTGAGTGACAGCTCAGCCTGGGGAGCCCCAATCTTGTTATCTTCTGCCTCTACCTTAAAATCGAGTTCCGATAGACCTGAAAGAGAGAAGTCGGAGGAGGTGGGGGGAGGGGGGAGGGGGAGGAATCCTTGGAGTTGCCAGGCGGACAGCAGGCTGCCACTATGCAGCACAGCAACGTCTCCTGTCACACAGGCAGATTTGTTACATATCAGGCGACTAAACTGACAAGGCAGACTTGGCTACTGCTAATGGGGCTCGGGGCTTTGTGCACCAATGGGAAAAGCCTGCCTTGCCTCAGGAAGGATGAGGAGGAGCAGCTAGTGCATCCCCTGGCTGAGACTGATTTCCTGGCTAGCTCACGCTTTGAGGAATAGAAGCTGGAGCAGCTACAGATTTATTTTCTTTTCCAAAGACAAATAGGAGTGGGTGGTTCTGTACAAAGCCAGGTCGTGTCTCCTCTCCCCCACCCCCTTTTCTTTTCATTTTGAGTGAAGCAAGGATTCCCACTTTTCAGAGGTTGCCAAAGTCTCCTTTGCAAACAACCTAAGCCAACTGTGCTGTGACTTCCTGAAGCCAGCCACCCACTCGCATGTGAACAGGAGACAACCCCAGTACAGTGGTACCTCGGGTTAAGTACTTAATTCGTTCCAGAGGTCTGTACTTAACCTGAAACTGTTCTTAACCTGAAGCACCACTTTAGCTAATGGGGCCTCCTGCTGTCGCCGCGCCGCCGAAGCACGATTTCTGTTCTCATCCTGAAGCAAAGTTCTTAACCTGAAGCACTATTTCTGAGTTGGCGGAATCTGTAACCTGAAGAGTATGTAACCTGAAGCGTATGTAACCCGAGGTACCACTGTATTTCCAAGCTTCTGTGTTGTTCCATATTCCTGCTCCTCCACTTACCCATTACTGCTGCTGCTATCCAGCAACTGGACACATGATGAAATCCACATTTCTCCTGTCGTCCTTCTTGCTGCCCCCTCTGCTACAGTCACCAGACTACATTTGCCTTGCAGCCACCCACACCTCGTAGGGCCTTAGCAAGCTGCCTTATACCTACCCAGGTTTGACTATTTGTCCATCTAGCCTAGTATTGTCTACTGTAACTGGCAATGGCTCTCCAGGGCTTCAGACTGGTCTTTTGCAATAGGTTTTTAAACTGGAAAGGCCAGGAACCTGGTGGTGGTGGTATTATTATTATTATTATTATTATTATTAAAAAATGTACACCACCCTTCATCCGAAGATCCCAGAGCCGTTCACAATAGAAAAATGCAAAGTATGGGATCTACCAATTTGCCATTGTTTCTTCATTCTCCCTATCTTCCTAGACTGGCTGAAGGAGGAGAAGGAAAGCACATGCAAGACCTATATAACTCAAGGAGAGATAGGGGATTCTGGCCATCTAAAATTTAAGAGCGCTGGTGACTTTGCATCATTTATTCTGAACATAAGATGTGGGAACCACTCCTGTACAAAGAATCAACCATTTTAGGCTGGGTTGTGCAATGCTACAACCAGAGTATAAAGTCGTGATAGGCAGAGCCACTCTAAGACATTTTGCTGCTTGAGGCAAAGGACAAGATGGTGCTTCCCATGACATGGATGGAAGCCAACTGGAGTGGCAGTCAAATCTAGCTTCCACAAAAATGACCAGACAGCATCCTCCACTGTAACCAAGGGCAGCAGGGTAGCTCAGAGATGGGAGTGAGGGAGCACAGGCTATGTGGTGCACACACAGCTCTGCCATCCAATATCTCACCACCATTCCTTCAGTATTTTGCTGCCTACTCCCCAGCCCCACTGGAGGCTGCTGCCCCACTTTGCCTAATGGTAAGTCTGGCTCTGGTGATAGGAAAGCAATCTTCCATGGAGACATGCCAATGTATAAACTTGCCCTGAAATTGAAGTATACAGGAATTACGGTAAGTCACTTGGGCCAAAATTAAGACATACTTGGTCATGCTAAAGCCCCAATGAAATCAACAGGATGAGTTTGTTGTGCCTAATGTATATCCATTAATTTCAATGAGTTTTTAGTGCTGCAATCCTAGCCACAGAAGCAAGGCCTATTGTATTCATGGGGGCTTACTTCCATCTTAGTGGAGTTAGAGTTACTTCCTAATCATCTCTGAGATTTAGGTCATTATGCATTTGGGGCATTTCACACAAAGGTTGCCACCAATTGTGCACCAAACAGGGGCCAAAGCCACTCTCAACTCTCCACTGAGTGTCCATATATGATTGTATGTGTTTTCAAACTCATGCTTGTCACAGAAATACTTAAAAAAATAAAACCCTTTGGCATTCACCTAAACTGTTTCCCAGCTAAGTGGATTTTAGAAAAGGTGCTCATTCATACCAACACATATAATATGCTTTACCATTTAGTCCAGGAGTTGGCAGAATGCTTGTGGAACAGCTGTGCTTCCATTGGGCAGCCATCTTGTACTGTGAAGAGAGGAAACAATAATTTAAAAACCAACTGTACTGTTGCACTGGCTGCCAGTATGCTACCAGGCCAGGTTTAAGGTCTTGCTGATGGTATATAAAATCCCAAACAACTTAGAAACAGCCTATTTGAGTGACAGTCTTATTCTCCATGTACCTGCCCTGTCACTGTAGCCTGCTTTTAAAATATTTTTTTTATTAAGGATTTTCTTGGTTTACAAAAGTACATGCATTGTCTCTTTTCAGGTCATAGAATCATTTCTACTGACCAGTTACATTCAGTGTGAGACACTGTTGTACAGGCTGGGGGAAAAGAGAAGGGGAGGGGGGAAAGAGGGGGTGGTGTGGTAAACTTACATTATTTTGCTTAGTGGGGGGAGCTTAGTGTCAGTGTCACTTGGGTAGGTTATTTTTCTATTCATTTATTACGTATATTTCCTTGGTAATGAGTGAGGTTGGGGAGACACTGCAGTCTTCTTAAGAAGCACGTTTTACCCTGTTACATATTCCTGAGGTCTGATCCATGACCCCTGCAGCTAGGCCCTTTGCACATACTTTGTGGAATTCCTACCCTCTGGCCATCTAAGAAGAGCCTACAGTGCATACAGTGCTAGATGCTCACTTAAAACTTTCTTACACACACAAGCTTACTCTGTAGAGCAGGGGTCAGCAACCTTTTTCAGTCCACCGTCGCTCAGACCTTGTGGTGGGCTGGACTATATTTGGGGGGGGGGATGAACGAATTCCTATGCCCCACAAATAACCCAGAGATGCATTTTAAATAAAAGGACACATTCTATTTATGTAAAAACATGCTGATTCCCGGACCGTCCGCAGGCCGGATTGAGAAGGCGATTGGGACACATCTGGCCCACATGCCTTAGGTCGCCTACCCCTGCTGTGGAGTGACCCAGCCATGTTATAAATACTTCTGAAGATACTTTATCATTTTCTTTTTTTAATTTTGTGTCTATTTTAAATCTTAAAAGGTATGGTATTTTATATGTTGAGTGGTACACAAATTCCTACAAATCAAACAAACAAACAAAGGAGTTTGAGGATAAAAATGCAGAGTGGGTCAAACTGTACATTGTGTTAAATGCATGGTGTACAACTAGATCTTTCCCCCTCTTTCAAATTTAATGCTGTGTTGGAACCCTTGATTTTCTTTTCTTTTCAGAGTTTATTTATTTTCAAAAGAATACAAAATTTAAAGAAAAGCTACAAAACATGGAATTCTTAGATATATCTCTTATACTAGTTGAGGTTCTCAGGCTCCTCCCCAGCTATGATCCTGATGAAAATCCAACCTGCCAACAGTACTCCTATTACCTGTGTGTATGTGAAGCTTCTGTAGGCACCAAGAGCTTTTTCCCTAAGGCTCCTGCAGCACGAGGGGGATTTTAATCAGAATCCCATCCCTGTGCTCATGGGGGGGGGGGTGTCTGTCCACACTAAATATTACATTTTCAAAAACCCAGACATAATTACACACTATACACAACATTACATGTAGTTTGACCCTAATTTGATGGAGTGGTGTCACCACAAGGCAGGGACTTTTCAGAAAGGGGACTATGGCTTCTGTTCAGAGATATCTTAAACTTTTTTAATGGATTTGATGATAACCCACTTCTTTTTACTGTATATTTATATTAGGGTAGTGCTGCTGATATGATCCACCTTAGATCAGGCCACGATACAGGTCTAGGTCTCAACCTACTAAATGAAGATTAGTGAAATGACAGACCTATTACAAGTTTATCTCTGTTTCATACCAGTTTCATTGCTGTGGCTTTCCTCAAAGATTGCTAAAAACTGTGCTTTGACAAGACTTCTCTGCTAAAATGAGACCACCACATTCCCTCAAAGAAATACAATTCCCAGGATTCACTGGGGACAGGGAATGACTATTAGATCATTTTAATTCTGTGACGCAGATATGCTCATAGCAGTCTCCCAAAGCAGAGATGAATATTAATTTGAAGCTTGAAGCTTTGCAGCTATATCAGAAGGTGGTGAGTACATCTCTAAAATCCCAGAAGGAAAACATACATAGCAAGGACTAGTGACACAATTTGGCTATCGAACCAAGCTGCTATGCGTAATTTTGCAAATGTCTACAACAGATCAGGAGCGATTCCCACCACTGCTTTCAAAAGACTTGTCAGATGAAGGCATTTTCACAGCAAAGATGTCACTATGCCCAGCACTGTAAAGTAGCACATAAATTTCAAAGGCTTCTCAGATAAGCAGCTTGGGGTATAAATTCAGTTATCCCTTCCACTGGTGGATGCAAGTGACATTTGTCTGGGTTGATGGGCTTGCAGAGCCCTCTCCAAGTACCAGTTGCTGGGGAACATCAGTGGGAGAAAGCTATTGCTCTCAGACTTCATGTCTCTCTTTTGGGTTTCCCAGAAGCATCTGGCCAGCAACACTGGGAAACAGGATGCTGGACTAAACAGGTTTTTTCTCTGATCCAGCAGGGCTACCTTTCAAGTTATCGAACAGGTATGTACATACTGCTTCTGTTGCCACCTTTGGCCACTCCCCTACTGCTCTTTTTGGGGAAAAGAATAACTGCAGGATTCACTCCCCAGCTACACTGGGACATATAGGTAAAATCAGGAGAGTCACAGATGCAACGTGAAGGGATAGCTTTCAGATCGTGTGCAGAGCATTTAAATAACTAGGTTGATCCCAATTAGAAATTACTGTGGTGCTCATGCTAGTATAATAATGAATGCACTGAGGGCTGGAAAATGCATACCTCCTCCTTTTGGAAGTCCTTCTCAACAACATCCCACAGGCTTCTGTGCCCCTGTTGGAAAGTGTTCCAGTCTGCAGCATTCATCACCTGTGGCTCCTGGGCTAGTTTTGAGAGGTGTTTTGCCTGAAATGGTTTAAGTAGGTTCAAAAAGTGACTCTGAGACAGTATACTAGACAGGTGGCATGGGAAAATGGTGGTTTTGTTCCAGTGAATCACTATATTTAACTGGCTTTTCCATCTCTTTAAGAATCTGAGCATTTGAGATGCAGTAGCCAGAACTTGACAAGTGTGGTCACATATACCATGTGTTTGTTCTTCCTTCAACCTTTTATATAGCAAGCTTCCTTGGTGGGAAAGTTGAATAATATTTTAAACAGATAAAAGGGCTAACTGTGTTTGAGAGAGAGAGAGAGAGAGGTAGGTAGAGACAAAATGACATTCAAACCTACATTAACCTACATTAACACTGAGGAGAGCAAACCAAGGAAAGGAATTGCAGCATACAGAACTCCTATCTGGGCCAGTCTTGCCTTTGCACATTGACCGGAATCCTGTCCGGCACTCACCAGCTTGCCTTGAACGGTGGCTAACTCCTCCAGAATTTTATCAGCAATACCATTGACCATGGCCTCAGTGACTGACTGCTGGATCTCCCTATCAAAGAAGGGACAAAGCAGGCTATTAGCACAGAGAAGCACAAAGGAGAGCTCCACTGTGTAGTAAGACTTTGGCACCAATAACTTGGGTTAGGATTTGGGAAATAAGGAGGCTGAGAAGTGAGATAAAGTGACTGCTAAGGCTCCCATGACCATCAGATGTTGGGTAAAGGGCCAGAAATGGGTGGGAGAAGAAGAGGATTTCTCCCAGTTCTGACACCTGGGGCATGTGTATTTTATGATGTAGCCTGTTGTCTAAACTGTTAATTTGTTTTAACTGTACTGTACTGTATTGTACTTTTTTCATTGCTGTACCCTGCCCTGGGGCCTCAGAGTAAAGGGCATGTAAGATACCTAATAAATAATAACAATTGATATATGGATCCTGCTCTTGGGGAATGTGGTTATGGCCACAGGCTTATGTATCTTTAAAATACTATCAGAAAAAATATATGGATCAGTGGCCACTAATCATCAGGGTTAAATGGAGCCTCCAAGTTTAGAGACAGGATGCACCTAGATTTCAGTTGCTTGGGATCTGTTAGTGAGTGAGGGCTGACACAGCAAGGCACTTCTTACATTCTTCATGAAGAAGTCTGGAAAACATTTTTAATAAATTCTTTTATCTTTGAAAAATGAAAGAAGACATGCATCTAGAATGTGGTCCTATACTGTATGCCGCAAAAATGTGAAAATTGATTAAAGTTGATTGGAATGTTATACAAATTTTAGAAGCTGAGGACAAAAAATAACCTTTTTAAAGCAACTTGGGGATTTTTATCTGGTGAGGTGCTGAGAATTCTCTGTAAAGCTACCCCCTCACAGAACTACAAATCCCAGAATTCCCTAGGAAAGAGGAATGTCTGTTTCATCAGTTTAACTCTGTGGTGTGACTATGCCCTAGGAGCCTAGACAGCTGTCAGAGAGATGTATCTGCATAGCAGAGAGTGACATGTAGAGGACATAAGATGCTGGCTTCTGCCTGAGCCATGGGAACAGTTCTGCAGACCCATATACCAAACAAGAGGCTCAAGATTCTTACAGATATGAGGTTAAGCTGCCGAAGGAGAACAGTACTTGTATGAAAAATAAAAAGGACAGTTCAAAGAGGCCCCCATCTACCCCAAATGTGTCTCTACTGAAAAGCTATATGCCAGGAAGCAGGAATCTCAAGGAGAAACACAGCCAGCAGGCAAAACCTTTCTCTTTCTACTTCAGCGTTTAATGCTGAAGATTGAGTAGATGCTTCCAACCCAAACAGGCACTCTGGTGTGGCTTGAAGAGAAAGGTTAGTCCTGTCACCCACGTGAGCCTGCTGTACATCTCAGTCAAAAGCTGGTCAAGGAGCATCTTCTTTGGCACGCTGGCGATCAGGTGGTCCTGAAAGTCATTTTTCTGCATGAGTTTGGGGCACAAACTCTGAGTGGCAACCAATGAGGCATGCATGATGGTCTATGAAGAAAGTACAAGCAAGAGATAAATGTGGCATGAGGAGTCGTCAAAACCTGAAGTTTTATTACTTTCTACTTGTGAGCATGTGTGGGGAAGCAATTCACTGCAAGAGGTTCCAGGTCACCTTCCTCTAGTCTAAGGCTATATATATCTGCAACATTTTTGGTGCTATTAATAAACAATGGAAATTAGGCATTTACACACATTTGCAAATCAAATCGAAATACCTTTATTGGTATCACAGTATAAAATATTTCAAGTCACTAGGGTAGTTAAAAGGACAAGGGTGAAGCTGTTGAAGGTAGTAAGGTCACATTGTGATTGTGTGCACTTAGATATTCTGCTTCACCCTGTCTATTCCCCGAAAGGATGGTTCATTGGGAACCCATTCTGGTAAAATTGTGGCTAAAAAAGGAAGCTACTAAGGCAGTGATATCTTTGTCCTGATCTGCGAGGAGAAATCTCATTTGACTTCTCGGATTTATAGGCCAGAGGTCCAACATTTTGATTTTGTCATATTTGCATATCTTCTGATGGCCATAAAAGGTGCAAAGATATGTTCACACTACCTGTTAGCAGACAGAGTTTATATGCTGCTGCAGCAGTTAGCATCTTTGTCACCAGTTCAATTATAGACTTAATTCTGTCACCATATAGATTAAAACACTCTTTTACAAAACAGAAGCAGAATTTCTCAGGAGGCTGATTTCTGTAGCACACACCAAAAGCTACAGTTGTGTGGTGCAAAACTGCAGACTTGGTCCATCTAAGCTCAATATTGTCTACTCTAACTGGCAGCAGCTCTCCAAAGTATTTTCCATCTCCTACTACTAGGTGACTATGGAACTCTACCTACTTACCTGGATGTCACTGCTGCAAGTCTGAGAGACTTCTTCAATGAAACTCTCCAGCTTGTGCTGAAGCTTGCTGTTCTGCTGCACAGGGTTTCCTGCCTCATACAAAATAGGCAAAACCTGCAGGAAGAGAAAGGCTCTCATTAAGAATAGCTATTCAGTCCTTCTTTGCCACAGTAGCTTATCTGAAAGGCCATTGCTGAAGGCAGGTTGCCACCAGTAGGTTGTTGCCAAAGGGGGCTAGAGGAGGTTCTTGGCTACCTTCTATATATTTAATACTTGTAAAGAAATTGCGGTATCGATTTTATTGCATTTGTGCATTTTATTTATGTTTGGCAACTGTCCAGAGGACATTGATTTTGTCAGTCTAGGCCACATAGAATGAGGCTGAGGGCTGTGTGTGGCCCCCAAACTGCAGGTTGCCTACCTGTGTCCTATGAAAATGATGCATTCTTCCTGAATTTGTAATGAAAATTTAAAAGGCATCTTCAGTCACGTCTGATATTCTGACTTTTGCCAGTGTTGCTTGGTTTGTGACACTACCACAGGAAAACACATCCGGGGTAAAAATTAACTTACAATCATGATCTGAGGCCCTTCTTCATGTGCCCCCTCCATGAGAGGTCTGGAGGGTGACAATACAAGAATGGGCCTTTTCTGCAGTGGCTCCCCATTAGTGGAATGTTCTCCCCAGGGAGGCTCACATGGAGCGATCATTATATATCTTTAGGTACTCAGCAACTTCCCTCTATAACCAGGTCTTTGGCCTTTTAACTATCTGTGGCCTTTTTAGAAGAGGGCAGGTGTGTGTGTTTTTTTAATGTATCTGTCTTTTTGATTGTAAGTTGCTTTGGGTTGTCCTGAGCAAGATAAAGTGATAACAAATTCAATTAATCATCACCATCAATTCTTAGTGGTTCATGACTGAGTTCCAAAACAAGAAAAGTAGCAAAGGGGAGGCTTGCAGACAGGTGTTTATTGTGGGATCAGTGCAAGTAAACTGTTTTTGTAGCATGCACATGACATCACTGGCATCAAAATGCCAGCCTGCATCCCGCCCTCCTGCTGATTTAATCTGGATGTGCCCTTTTAGGAGAAAATCTGGTATGTTAAAAAAGTGTTGTGAACAACCTGTTTGCAGATTAAGCGCCTGCCTGGAAAGCACCCTTAACACACATGAAGGAGAGCTCACACTGATTGAAAGGCTTGCATCCTTGATGGTCTCCTCTGCCCATAGGATGTCTGCTTTAACTTCCACATCTTGAACAGAGCTCAGCATTTCAATGCACTTATGCACAGACTGGGATGCATCCTTCAGTGCCTAGAATAGAGAGCAAGATATGGGGCACCACTGTACCACCAACACAAAAGTATAGCACTCCCTAGAATTCCAGTCTCTGTTAGCTGCATTTAATTGAGTCAGTGTTGGCTCCAGGTTTTGGGGGCCCTTTGTCAGGGTGACCTCAGAGGGTCCCTCCCTGAAAAACCCCAACTTCTCATCGGTTGCTGCTGCTGCCCATTCACTGGTCCTGTCCCTCTGGGCTCAATTTGTAGCACTCTCCCATAGAGAAAGGGAAAGGCAAGCGGAGGATGCTGCTCCTCCTTATTGGCTTTTGTTGGCCTGTACACTGGGAAAGGGGAGATGAACCAACAGCAATGGCAAGGAAGAGGAACAGAAGGATCAGTGAGTTACGAGATACCCCTTAAGCCTGGAGTTGGCTGTAACTCTTTTTAGCACCAATCCCTGCATCTGCAATGTGACAGCACTAATTCTTGTCAGAAAGTTTACCAGGATACAATGCACTTTAATGTTCTAAAGTGCAGATGCCAGCATTCTTGCCCCATTTAGATGTTTTCTGCCCTTTGGCCCTCTTCTGCGCACTTGACTTTTAAAGAGGTTGGGATGCAATATTCCCTTATTTCAGGTTCCCTTATTTTCTTCCAATTTTAAGTTCAGTTCTCCAAAACAGTTTGGAATTTCTTTTTAAAAAACAACCCTCACAATTTTTTATCAGCATTTTAGTGTGCATTTCTCCTAAGTTGCGCATTTCTGTATGTAGCTTTGCCAAATGCACACATCTTTGCAAGCAATTTCCCCTGCTATATTTCTAATATTATTTTTATTAAGATATGCATTTTTATGCACACTACCCCCATATGCATTTTTTGTGCACATTACTTGGTAGGAGAATTGCACTGCAAAATCTGGAGAAGTGTGAATTTTGTAGGCTAGCTGCATTTCTATTTGTGCACTGTTTCAGGGTGGTGCAAATAGGTTTTCTTATTAAAATGTGAACAGAGCTGACTATGCAAGACGTAAGGCTATGAAGGTAGGTGAAGATCCAAGGCTTCCCACCTGTGCAGAAGAGCTGGCTGTACTGTCTGGCTGTAACCGGCATCTCTCCTTGGGCAAGGTCTCTTGAATCTGATTCCTTGCGAGGTAAGACTGTATCTGCAGCATGCAAAAGAGGCATGGCTCACATGACCCTCACTTCTATGGCCTCCCAAATAAGTAGTTGCATTTACTCAGCAGCACTGAGTAACATATGATCAGCATACTGGAGCACACACGGCATGCTAACATTCATTCAGCACATACCTATCAGTTGGGTTCTAACTCAAAATTGATCTAGAGTGCTCCCCCATTCAGATCAGTACCCCCAATTCCTATGCTTTTTACCTTGTGCACAACTTCCTCCATTTTCTCTGGATGGCTTCGATGAGCCTGGGCCACATCAGTTATGGGCAAGGGCATAGCTTTTAGAGTGAAATTCCTGAGGAACAAGCATTGTTTCATTAGTTGTCCCTAGGCTACTAAGGGCCCCCAAAACAATTCACAACTGTGCATGCACAGTAGTCAGGCTATTTCCCAATTAAAGTGAAACAAGTAGATGCTGTAACAAAACTTTGCAGTGGAGTGCTCCTCTTATGTTCATTTTGATTCAGGTCACAGGTGATCTGAACTTCTTCATAAGATATAATTCAGTTGTTTCCCACTGGAGCCTCCCTTTGAAGTTCCTTTATTTGAGAATTGTAGTCTCAAAACATCTGGAGGGCCGAGGTTGAGGAAGCCTGATTTATTATTTTGTGACAAGACTGGCCTGCTTGTCCTATGTAGAATGCAGAAGGGTATGCTAACCAATGGTAGCATATGGGGCTTTTTTCAGCCAGAACTCACCAGAATGCAGTTCTGGCACCACTCAGGTGGGCACTATTGTCATTACAAATTCATGGAGAGTTCCGACACCTCTTTTTCTAGAAAAATAGCACTGGTGGCATATATCATATAGGAAGACGAGTGAGTGAATAAACCCTTGATGTTTTGTCTGACATTATTGGGTCCTAAAATGGCATTGCCAAAGTTATTTATGGGGAAAGAATTGGCACTTGGACTGGGATTCTCTTATTCCAAAGAAGAACAGAATTTGTCTGCAGAGCCTCCAGGATGGCATCAACAGAGCACAGCGATGAGGTACCTACCTTAGCAAGGCACGAGTAACATCAAGGAATCCACACAATGTTGTGTTGTTCCTGTCCCAAATTAACGTCCTAAAAGCAGATGAGAAGGGAAGACGGTTCAGTTGAAGCACACCAAGCTCCAATATATAGACAATAGAAGCATTTCTAAGTAGAATCTTTGCTTTCCTTTTTTATTTAAAGCATGTGTACCCAGCTCTAAATTTCAGAGACATAATAGAAATTAAAATTTATTTTTTTCAAAGCATCAAAAGTTTATTTAAAAAATCCTTTGTGTTAAGGTATCCAAAAAGTTCTGAACTCAGGAAAGCTGCATTCCATGATCCAAGCAACACATTATGTTAGCAAACCTATGGCCTCAGCCCCATATTTGCCAATGTAACAGGAAATTTAGTGACATGGAAATTAAGAAGGGAAACCCTTTCCATGCTTGCTGACACTCCCTGCAAATTCCTTTCCACAGCTATTTCCCCTACAGCTGGTTCTACTTCAAGTTTAAGGGCCCAACAGGGCAGAACCTTTAAATATGACCCAGAGCAGACGCACTTACAGGGGAGAATTATCACCAGAGGGAGAAGGATCAATCTTCCCTCTTTCTAACTAATTCTCCTGCAAATAGCACCCACCAACACTCACATGAACATTATGAAGAGAAGAGTCAGCCAGGAACCCTGTGTTTCCCTAGTAACATCTAATTTGTCCCTACCAAATATGCAAAATACAACCATGTGCATTTATTTCAGCCTTCCCCAACATTATGCCCTCTGTATGTTTTGGACTACAGCACATATTGGCTGGGGCTGATGGAATCTGTAATCCAAAACATGGAGGGCACCAGTTGGGGGCAGGGGCAGGGTGCAAAAAGTTAGAAACAGAAGCCCCACTCTATGACAACTCCTGCTCAGACCCAGGAGTGTAGATTTTTTAAACAAAAGGAACTATACCTTCACATGACACATATGGTTATGACTCAGACTTGTTCCCCCTTTAAAAAAAAGAATTAGACACTTTCCTAAAAGGGAAAAGATCTCACGGCTGCAATAGCCAAATGAAGCCTCTGTGTTCAGAAGCAGTTATTTCTTCAATTACCAGATGGTGAGGGAAAACACAGGAAATAGCTATCCTGTCTGAGGAGAAAACATAGCTCAGTGGAAGAGCATGTGTTTTGCATGGAGTATGTTACAAGCTGAATCCCTGGAATCTCCATTTAAAGGATTTCAGGTGGCAAGTGATGGGAAAGATTCTTCTTTGCCTGAGATGCTGGATAGCCACTTTCAGTCAGAGAAGCCCAGCCTTCTCCAACCTGGTGTCCTCCAGATGTTTTCAACTTCAACTCCCAGCAGCCCCAGTCAGCACAACATGGGGCTGATGGGAGTTGTAGTCCAAATTTTCTGGAGGGCATCAGGCTGGGATAAGCTGGAGTGGACAATACTGGGCTAGAATAGAAACAGTAATGTATGGCAGGTTCACATGTCCATTTGAGCTTCTAAAGGCACCTGGTTAATCACCATCAGGATAGAATAAAGTGGTACCTTGGGTTACAGACGCTTCAGGTTACAGACTCCACTAACCCAGAAATAGTACCTTGGGTTAAGAGCTTTGCTTCAGGATGAGAACAGAAATTGTGCGGCAGCCGCGCGAGGCCCCATTAGCTAAAGTGGTACCTCAGGTTAACAGTTTCAGGTTAAGAACGGACCTCTGGAATGAATTAAGTTCTTAACCCGAGGTACCACTGTATTAAACTACTGGTTTTGTTTGATACTGCAAAACTGCTAGGGACCAAATTTACTAGACTCCCCAGAGCAGCCTGCAAAGGAACAGCTACTAGAAAGGCATGCACATGGAAGGGGCCTTCTTCCAAAGGAAGCCATACATAGATCTCTGTGGGTATCCTGGCTTTGCAGCATAGAACCAAGTTGCACAGGAGACACTAGACTTGACAGAGGCATGTTACTTTCCAGTCACAAAGGAGAGCACAGCAAGCCCTTGAGTTCACAAGGTATGTACTGTGACATGTCAGGTGCTTGAAAACACAAGCCTCCCTCAAAATGCATTTTTTGCCGTCCCAAGCAGGCAGCATGAGCCCTCTTTAGCCTGATTTATAGATTGCCAGATTATTTGCCAGCCTATTCAGCCTTCCCAACCTTGGGTCCCCAGATGTTCTGGAAATATAATCCCTATTCTCCCTGCCCATTGGCCATGCTGACAAATAATATGTGGGCAACATTTGGTCTTCTTGGACTTGCACAGTCTTTCTAAGGTCTCAGAGAGAAGTTTTCCCATCACCTCTTAACTGATCCATTTTAACTGAAGAAACTAAGGATAGCATCTGGGATAGCATGTATACAGACTTACAATAATCCCTCTCCAATTACGGATAAGGAAATGTTTCAATTTCTATTACTCATTTTTCCCAATCTTAAATTCAGTTTTTCACATTTCCACATGTTCCCTAATTTTAAAAAAATCTTCATCAAAACCCACCAGCATTTTAAGCGTTTATTTCTAATAATATACACATTTTTGCCACACAATTTTGCCAAATATACACATTTTTTGCAAAGCAATTTCCTCCTAGTAGAATGCATTTTTGTATGTGATTTCCAATAATATATACATTTGTGTGCATACTTTACCCCATTATATCCACTTTTTTACACATTACTTGGCTAGAGAACTGCATTGCAAAATTCAGAAAAGTGTGAATTTCAAAGGATGATTGTATTTTGGTTTGCATCTTGATTCAAAATTGAAAATTAGGTAAGTTCCCCTTTAAGTGTGAACTGAATCAAATTTCTCCCCTATCTCCATCTTCAATTCACATATCCACCTACACACACCTATGCAAGTGAAAGAAATTAAGTGAACGCACCTGAGTGTTGTGTTCACTGACAAAGCTTTTGCCAGTATTTTGGCACCCACGTCTCCCATAGCATTACCACTGATATCCAGCATGACAAGACAACTGCTCCTGCTTCTCAAACCATCTAGGATAACACTGGTTCCCAGTTTCAGGCGAGATTCTGCCACTGATAGGGATTCGACAGACTGAAATAAAATCAGGAAAGAATGTAGCAGAGACCCCAAGACGCTAATAACGATGTTGCTTGTTTGCAGAGGGCATGGAACACACACACAAACACACAGTGCCAAGTCTATGACAAAGACCATTCAATGGACAATAGTGACTATGGACAAATAGTCCATCTCTATGTGGTAAGGTTAAAATAAGTAGAAATTAGGCAGACAACAGGAAGCTCCACTGAGTTATGAGAGTGTGTACTTACCAGAAATAATTAAGGATTTCAAAGTTTGACCAAAGCATGCTAATACACAGGTATTGAACTTAGAACTCCATACTTACACAGTCATCATCTTGAGTTAGCTGAACAATTCGGTGCAAAGCATCAGCTAGGGTCTCCCTAGGAGAAAGAAGTAGAAAGCCCACTAATTTTCCTGGTCTGAATCTGATTAATATATAGGCGATTAGTGGGTTCCTGTTGTGTCACATTGGTTTACTAGATTCATAAAAAGGTAAAGGGACCCCTGACAGTTAAGTCCAGTCACGAATGACTCTGGGGTTGTGGTGCTCATCTTGCTTTACTGGCTGAGGGAACCGGCGTTTGTCTGCAGACAGCTTTTTCCAGGTTATGTGGCCAGCATGACTAAGCCACTTCTGGCAAAACCAGAGCAGCAAGAATACTTTATCGAGAAACTTCAACAGGAGCAAAACATTGCCACAATGTTCTTGACTGGGACTGGAATAATACTTAGATCTTATGTAATCTGCATTGGCTGCCTGTGATCTTCAGTCAGCTCAATTTCAGGTGTTGCTTTTGAACTTTAAACCCCTGAATGGCTTAAGACGCTGCACTATCAAGGACTACCTTCTTCCATATGTGCCTCCACATAAGCTCTGTTCAATATCTGTGGCATTGATCTAGATGCCATTGATGAATGAAGCTTGACTGGCATCCACTAGGCATAGGGTCTAATCAATGGTGGTGACAATTTTATGGAATATCCTTCCCAAAGAGGTTCATTGGGCCGCTATACTCTAGACCAGCAGTGAGGAACCTGTGACCCTCCAGATGTTGATTCAAACTTTGTCAGCCCCACCCAGAATGTCCCATGGCAAGTGATGATGATGGGAGTTGTACGCTGAAGGGTTGCAATCCCCCCACATGCTCTAGGCATTTGGTTGATTTGGCTCTGCTTTCAGAATATTAACCTGAGTTTTTGTAGTGCTGTTCTGTATGGCAACCAGTTATGTTGTGTGCAGGTTTTTGGTGGTGGTGTTTTTTTGCTATCCCTGCTGTTATTTTTATTAGTCTGTTCTTCTGTATTTTGCAATGCGTTGTACTTCTATCATGTCTTTATTGCTTTCAGCTTATGAGTTGCTTTGGGTTTGCCTCTAGGTATGGAAATACAGGCTCAAAACTATTAAAAGCAAGCAAATAAATAAAAAAAATAGCCTAGGTATGTAAAAAAATTCTTTCAACTCTCACATGTATGTATTAATACTAGTATTTAACTTTTTTAAAATTACCAACAGTGTTAAATGCTTACCTGGACCGGATATTAAAGTTTTTTCCTAGTGCAACATGCTTGATGGATCTGCTTCTACCGATGGCCAGCACCAGTGTCACCATGTCAGAATCAAAGCCTGCAGAAAGAGTAGCTGTGTATGCATGGGTACCTCATGGGTGCAGGTGGGGGTCCTGCAAGGCTGACTGGTCACAGGCAAGCAAGGGCCTCCACCAAAACAGATGATTAAACACTAGATTTGATATAATTCAGACACAGCAAAGTGAGACAGGCTTGTGAAACCTTATAAGAAACAGCACTTAGATCAGGGGGCTAATCTGTGGCCCTCCAGATGCTGTTGGACTTCCACAAACTCCAGCCAGCATGGCCAAGGGTCAGGAGTGATGGGAGTTGTAGTCCAACATCTGGAGGGCCAAATGTTAGCTACTTTTGCTTTAGATTCCAGTAAGCCAGCAAAGACCTTGATTCTAATTGGTGTGCTCTTTTGGTGTGTTTGCTCTTTTGGGATGTTAAAAGTGGCTGAGAACTTTTAACACACCACAAAGAAAAGACCACCCACAGATCCTAGTCTAATGCAGAGTATGTATTATTCAGATAAGCCTAGATTGGCAAGGAAGGGGACACATAGAGCTAGAGAGCACACTGTCTCCCTCAGTCTTAATGACAGAGGCAGTCTAAGGAACTGATAGACCTACCATTGTCGGATAAATTCAACTCCTTGATTGAGCTGGCATCTGAAACAAGATCCTGGATCACCTGGGCACCTGCTGATTTCAGCTTTAATATGAAGACAATTCATACATATTCAAAAGAGTAAGAACATAAAAAAGTAAGAACAACTCTGTCAGATCAGAGCTATTTTGATTTCTTGGTTTTGATATGCTGAGGTGTTAATTTTTATTGGCAATATTTATTAAGAACATTAAATAGGGCCCTGCTGAATTAGAACAAATACCTAAATAGTCCAACATCCCATTTCTCACGGTGGTCAACCACATGCATGCCTCTGAGAAGCCGACAAGCAGGGCAACAGCCCTCTTCCACTGTTGATTCCCAGCAACTGGTATTCATGCCACTTCTGATATAGTCATCAAGTCTAGTAAGCCAAAACGGCTACATTTACTTTTTGTATGACTTGAAAAATACTGGATTTAGCCATTCAACAGTGGAAACCTACGCTAGAGAAAGAGAACTTTAAACCACATGAATCTAGTTACAGATAGGTAGCCGTGTTGGTCTGCCATAGTCAAAACAAAAAAAATTCCTTCCAGTGTGCATGCACACGAAAGCTCATACCAAGAACTAACTTAGTTGGTCTTTAAGGTGCTACTGGAAGGAATTTTTTTTGTTTTCACATGAATCTAGTGATTTATTATCCGAGGAAATAGTCCTTTCAGCTGCTAGGTAAAGCCACCCACTTTGGCTTCTACTGAATTTTTACCTAGTACATCACCTAAAATGGTATTTCCACCTTGGTTAATGTTAAATCTGATTCACAAGAAATGAACCATGTCTCAGATAACTGTAACAAAAACTTCATATCATCTGCCCCCTTGCCTACATGTTCTTCAAACCTCTCTAGCAACTTTTATTAGGTACACTTTTTTGGGGAGGGGTGTCCCTTCTTACCTCACAGCTACTGAGGTCCAGGTGGAGACCACTCAATTGGTGGTTATATGCCAAGGCCTGCAGCAAAGCTCTGTAACAAATCAGAAAGGAAACAAGGGTAGGGAGCCACTGGCGGAGGAAGAGGAGTGCGGGGAGAGCGCACTGCCCTCGGCAGCGTGATCCCAGTAGGGTGCCATCGTGGCTGCCCCCCCCCGCCTGAGCAGGTGGAGCACCACGCCCCCAGGAAACATGCCAGCCCCGCCCCTGCCTGCTCTCCGCCCCCCAGTGCCAGAGCATGAAGCTCCGCCATTGTGGGGAGCAGCTCTAACTGCCAGGTGTCATGGGGGGAACCTGGTTCTGCATCTTCTCCCCCTCCACTATAGATTTGACTCCATCCCCAAATGCTTCATTTAATCCCTAATAGCTCACCACTTTGCTTCTTTGAACCCCTTTTGTGTTACTTTGTGTTACTTTGAATTACTTTGTGTTGGATCAGATCAAAAGTTCAGCTAGTCCAGCATTGTACAACAGCCACCCTCTGCTGTTGCCTTCCAGAGAGCTGGTATTCAGTGATAGGCTGCCTCTAACCATGGAGATTCCAAACAAAGACCATGGATATGTCTCCTTCTCAATGGATTTGTCAACCCCCCCCCCTTATGCATTCTGTGGCAAATCTATAAATTAATGTGTGTGTTACGGAATTCATCTTGATTATGCCTCATTCCTTCATGCCCACTCAGCTAAGAAATAGTCAAGTATACCTTTCTGTGCCTGTCCAGCAATTTTTCTTCTTTTGATATTATTATTAGTTACCTTCTCATATTTACTTGCTCATATTGGCTGCATTCAGATGAAACACTAACCCACAGTTTAGTGTTATGAGAATGAGCCTAACCTCCTCCAGAGCTTGTGTACTTCTCTCCCCCTCCTCTTCTCTCCTCTTGCAGTGCAGCTGTAAGGAGGAGATTGGAAGTTTTATTTCCAATTACTTCAGAACCCTAAACTGTGGTTAATTTTAACTATGGTTGATTGAAACAAGCCAGCTTCATAAGCTATGGTTGGTGTGAAGTTGGTCCCCCCCCCAACAAGCCAAAAAAGATTAGCCACAGTTAGTTTGATTTAGATGGCATGACAAGTGATGTGTCATCAAAAATGGAAGTGAAAGCTTCTGAATTCCTTGCAGCTACACCAAAGAATGAGAAGGGAAGAGAGTGTAAGCCTGGAGAATGTCTTGGTGTATTCCCATCACAATAATTTGCTGTTCATCACGACATCCAAAGGTTATTTTCATCCTTATAGTAGTTCTTCAATATAGATCACTTATTTACAAACGAGGAACCAAAGCTGGAAGAACAATGAATTACACAAGACTACAACAGCCTATGGCAGATATGCGACTTGAATCCAGATCACATTCAATATTGTCTCTCTCTCCCCCTCCCTAATGGGAGCCAGCTAAAAACAACGATTTACCCCTCACCTCAAAGCCTCTGTTGGTAACTTGGTTCCAGCCAATGAAACATGTTGGAGAGCAGAGGCTTTGCTGAAGAAATTGCTGATTCCAACAGGAACATCACTGTTCTTTCTGAAAAGAAGTGCAGTAACTTAAGTTCTATGGGCAGGTATCAGGACGCACAGACCCCTGGAACTGGATCAGAAAATACCTCCTCACTAGAGGATGATGAAGGGAAGGGCCATAGCTCAGTGGCAGAACATCTGCTTTGCATGCAGAAGGCCCTGTATTCAATCCTCAGCATTGCCAGGTAGGGCTGAAAAGGTTCCCTGTCTGATAACCTGGAGAAAACAGCATAGACAATACTGAACTAGCTAAACCAATGGTCTGACTCTGTATAAAGCAGCTTCCTATGTTCCTATGATGTCACCATGAATCCCAGGACCAAGGGAGACAAGGAACCCAAAAGGAACACTAACACTCATACCACCTCCACAATATTCCATCCAGGGTAACTGCAGACTTGTGTGACCTGATATGGCCTAACTGGACTCATCCCTTAACTCTGGACCCTCCATGGGGTCCTAAGGAACAGTAAAAGCAGAAAGTCCAAAATGAAGCTTAGTCCTGATGCTACTGTGCTCACTTGGCTGAACAAGGCATCCCATGTCAAAAGAGGAAAAACAGTCAGGGTCATGATCCCATTAGCACCCCAGGAAGGGTGGCACAAGCAGGCTGAGTAATTAAACCCTCTGCTGCTAGCTGGAAGACCTGTTCATAGCAAAGCAGTATTCTGCTCAGCTCTTTTCCCTGGCTCAGGACTAGGTCCTCTGACTGACTGGACAGCTCCCCTGCCTGGCTCAGACAGCTAAAATGAGTCAACTAGCTCCCCTAATCACAGGGCATCCCCTTAAAAGTAGGTGATTGTCAGAGGAGACTCGGGTAGACTGTCCCAAGACCTTAGGGGAGGCTGAACCCACTCCACCACGAAATCTTCATAGTCAAAAGCTTGATTTGGAAATGTAATCCTCTGCCAAGATCTTGCAACCAAAGTCATAAGAACGTACACGATTGTCACTCAACACAAGAACAGCACCTAAACTTGAATTCAGGAGCAATGCAGATTCTTTATGTGAAGCAGGAGCCAAGTCAGGTTTAGACATCTGGACTAGGAGCTTCACATGCATATTTTCAGGCTCTTGCCCAAAATCACAATGGTTTATGGATTTTTTTAAAAGCTCAGTTTAAAAGCTCTACCAACTTTTATACCATGTTGTCTTCTTGTACACCAATTTGTACACCAATTTGAGGTTTTATGGTACATAAATCTAGTGAAATAAATAAATAAAATAAAACTGCAGGCTGGCATAATATGCTACTGCTCCCAAGTAGCCTGCCAGAAAGGTGCAGAGAAAGCACACCAAGTTCTTACTTGTGTGTATAAACGTTCTTGGATAAGTTCAGGTGGATTAGGCTTTCACAGTAACCAGCACCCAAGGCATCAAAAAGCTGGGGACAGAGGAGGAAAAGGTCATAGACAACTGTGGAAAACAAAACAAAAGAAGCTCATGGTCACCTGTGGAATTCTGAGAGTGCCACTGGGTTCCATAAAAAGTTTTATATTTTGGATTTAACTGCTGACTCAGGCTATGGTCACATGCTATACCTTTAAAGCACATTTGAAGCACATTCTTCCCCTCAAATAATTATTGGCACTGTGGTTTACCTCTCACATAGTTACAATTCTCAACAACCCTTAACAAACTACAGTGCCTAGAATTCTTTAAACTGGGAAATGTGGTATGAATGTGCTTTAAAAATATATTATGTATGTAGTCTCAGTCATTTTGGCTGAGGGTTTTATATTGCTGTTTTATGAAATTGTAAGTTTTGAATGTTGTAAGCTGTCCAGAGTGATAGTATCGATTTTGTTTATTTTTGCAACAGAAGGGCAGGATATCAATGTTTTAACAAACAAAATAACTAGCAAACTCCATTTTCAAATAGAAACAGCCACTGCCAGTGAGAGTAGTCAGTACTTGGTTAAGTGGACTAAGGGTCTGACTCATTTTAAAGGAACTTCACTCGTGACAGCACAATAATACAGGGTCCTCATTCCGGGCAAATGACATGGTACAACATGCTTAAGAGCAAGAAATAGCAGCAGCTGTCAGGTGCTCACCACATCCAAAGCGCAGGCTGTCCCAGAGAGATCAAGGTGACCTAAAGCATTTGGCTGACTCAGGAAAGAAAACAAGCCCTGAAAGGGGAGAGAGAAAGAGAGAGAGAGAGAGAGAGAGAGAGAGAGAGAGAGAGAGAGAGAGAGAGAAGACTTACTTGTTGAGAGAGAAAATTGCAATGCGGCTGTTGTAAGACAGCAAGGTCCACCACAAGCATTTCTTAAATGTACGCTAGAGCTGCCTTTGAAAACTATCCAGAAGCTCCAACAGGCCTAAATGCCACTGCTAAACTAATATCTGGAGCTTTCTAGATAGAACATGACTCAGTTCCTTATTTAAAAGCATTTATAAGCTGCTTAATATTTCAGAAAAATCTAAATGGTGTATAATCTAACAAACAATATACTGTATCATTAAAACTAAACTCAATAAAACTTCAATGTAAAAAAACAAATGAAAGTGTATAAAAGTGAATAGAACAAAAATATCTTCATTGTTTACCTCTATGCTTCTGAGCTGTTCACCTTTAAAGCCCTGAATCACCAGCAAAAGTGACCCCTTGAGCCACTTAAACTATCCAATGACTTTGCCTGGTGATGAGACAACTTAAAGCTTGTGAACTAACACAGAATATTTTAGCAGCGACAGGTCTTGTGGGACTAGACAGCAAGATAAGTTAAGTTTTGGGAAGAGAAGGCGAAAGGCCCAGAAAACTCTTCCTGCAAAGAGACAACTGCTCCAGAACAGCATTGTTGACTCTGTTATTTCATTAGCTTCTGCAGAAATGCAAAAGCAAATGAAACCTAGATGCATTGATTTTTAAAGACTGTAATTCCAAATCAGCAACATTGGGGCTGAGGAGCAAACTTTGAGTCCCTGTCTGTGTCTGAAACAGAAGGCAAAACACATCTGCTACACAGTTTCCAGGGGCCATGAATACTCACGTCTGCACCTTCAGTGGCCAGGCTCCCTGGGTTCCCAGAAAGGTCCAAGTGGCACAGAGTAGTTCTGTATAGTCTATTGGAGCCTAGAGATTGGCAAAGGGCCAACATTCCTGGCAGGCAAGAGAAATCACAAAGAGGTGTTAAGGATGCAAGTGCCAAGTTACATAGAGGAAGGTGGAGGGCAACTGTTTCATTTGCAAGGTTGGCCTTGCTTAGCTCAGATTCTGACATTGACTGGTGAAATTTGGTATGTACAGAGAACTAAATCTTTACCTGAAGTGAGAAAGCATTCCTTCAGCTAGATAAGCACAGTTGCATGATATGCTCCAATGCAATTTATAGATTTGTTAAATATCAACAACTGGTACATGCAGGTCTTCCATCCAGTGACCCTGTTAAAGGGCTGGCTCTACCATTAGGTAGAGTGAGGTGGCTACCTCACCTCAGTCAACTGATTTTTGATGTCATGAAAGGTCAGCAACTTCTTACTTTAAGTTGGAATTATTGTATTTTCCCTCCCGGTAAGAGGCATTTAAGGGATTTTCTGCCACAAGTAGTCAGTCTTGGCTCCTATACACTTTTACTTGGCTGTACCCATGGGGCATGCTGTTTTTGTTCCCTCTCAGGTAAAAAAGTTCTTGAGCTGGTCCCAGTGCCATTAAAGAACAGAAATTGTCTGGTTGGTTTTTTTTATTTATCAGCTTGTTTAACTATATCAAGGCTTTGGAGGTGTCGTGCTGGATTTTTTAATTTACATTTTGCTTTGGCCAGCCCTGGATCCATGCAGTGAAGAAAACAGGCAATGTATATTTATTTTATTAAAAAAGGAATATGAACCAGTATTTAATAGAACTAATAAAGCATTAATACGGAAGAATGAAGGCAAAAAATCTAATCACTGCAATAAATCTCACAGCAAGATAACATTAATAATGACACTACAATAAAGATACTATAAATAGATACCACAGATGAAGATTTAGATTTCAGTTCTCTCTGCTGTGCTAATGCCATCCTAATACAGCATCCTGAAACAGTACCACTACCCCAAACCCTTCAACCATGGACTAACTGTTTCCCCCTGTACCTTTTGGAGTCAAGGAGGTCCTAGCAAAGTTCAAGCTTTGGAAGCCCTTGATGCTTTGCTCTAAGTTCTGGCTCAGAGCAATTATACCTAAAGAGAGAACAGAACCCTTGAGTAGACATAGAATGCAATTGTACTGCCACGTACCAGTACTTCAGTGGTGCTTCTAGGCAGGCAGTTCCTAGTACCACCCAAGAATTCTTCTACCATAGTAAACTACAAGTGGCATTGCAACAATCAACTTTCCACACAACTTGGGTGGCGGTGGGGGCATTGTAATTTTTCTGTATACATCCTACTATGCTTCATCCACATAGATGGGCCAGAAAATAACCCATCAAATTTTTTACATTTTTTTTCTGATCAATAATTTAATTTGAACCATGGTATTGTTCATTTAAGAGTAATTACCTGTGAGATGTCATGATTTGTTTTTAAAAAATGTTTTGATATACAGATGTTCCAGATGGCTCTTAGACTAAGTTTTTAGATCAGAAGTATTTTAAATTGGGGGGCGGGGCAGCACATTGATAAAATGGTGGCAACTAGTAAGGCAGTGGGGAGTTTTAGAAAAATACTCTTTTATTTAAGATTGCTTCCTCAGCTTGGGCCCTCAGGATACTGTAAGCCTACAACTCCTGTTATCCCTTACCGTTGGCCATGCTGGCTGGGCTGATGGGAGTTTTAGTTATATATAAAAATAGGATAGTAGCATTTTAGTGCTAACTAAAAGAACAATTATAAATAAAGAGGAACAGTGATAATATGATGACCACTTGAAAAGTAATAGTCAAAGTTTGCCAAGTGGGGGAAAAGTCTACCTGCCCAATGTATCAATACACATTTTGCAACCATGTCACTTGGAAATACTGAAAAAGAAGCACAAAAGCAATCTAGACTTGGATAAATTCTACAAAAGATGGAAGCAGCACTAGGAAAACACAGGACTATATAATGATTGGGTGATGATATCGTGATGCAAATTTTCCCCAAGGTGAATGAATGACATGCAGCAATTACACACTAAATGCTATTTGTTTAACAAATTCACTCCTGTTCCCCAAGTTAATCTTACTGCTTAAGCCAGTGTGGGCCAGAGCTAATCTTGGACCAACATTCAAATCCAACCTCTTCTTCTTCTTCTTCAGTGTAGGGATTTAAAACAAATTTCTCAGCCTTAGCTCCCCATTGGTAAAGGGAGACTGATGGTCACCTACCTCATAGGGCTACTGTAAGGTCAAACACACATAGTAAAGATGGTGAATCACTTAACAAATTAAAAGTCCATATTTATAATAGCTGAAGCACTCAAACTAATTGAAGACTTGGAAAGGTCTCTTTTCTTTCAGGGCAGAGAATGCAACTTTAGTAATTGAAAGTTCTAAAGGCAGAAACAAATGAGATTCTCTATACCTAGGTAACTGCAGCAGGAGGATTTAGCCAAAAAATAGAGCAACCAAGTAAATAGTTAAGACAGTCAGTGGCGGAGCTTCATGCTCCAGCACCGGGGGGCATTGAGCAGGCAGGGGTGGGGCTGGCGCACATCCCGGGGGTGGGGTGCGCTGTCCGCACGTCCTGGGGGCAGGGCATGCCACCTGTAGGGGTGTGGCGCCTAGTGCAGGCTGGGGGCAGCCGCAATGGCACCTTACTGGAATCGCGCTGCCGGGGGCGGTGCACTCCCCCCGCACTCCTCTTCCTCCACCAGTGAAGATAGTGAACCAAGTTTATTATTATGGCCAGAACACACAAGTCACTACTATGCAATATTGGCCAAGAGATCAGAAATTGCACTACCTCGGTCCTCAAGCAGGTTTCCAGAAAGATTAAGCATGTTTAAGGTATTGCTTGGATTATTGTGAAGCACCTGGGCCATCCGTTGAGCAAAATCACTGCAAGGGAAAAAGATTTCACACAGTAACAAGCCCACAGATGAAAATAATAGTACCTCACACATTTTGACTTCCCTTCGTGCCAACCAAACATCTGTGGTCACTAAGAACTTGCTCCTCTCCCAAGGGTTGATACCTTGTTCCCGATTTTGTGCTGCACAGTGCAAGATCAGGAACAATTCCTTATTCTCCTCTCAACTCCAGCCACGGAGCATGAGATGGAGAACTCATCACTGGAAACACATTGCATGGAAGCAAGTCCCAGCCTGAAGCAAGTCCCAGCTCTATTTTGGTTCTGTGTTGCTAAGGTCTCCTCCTGACCTTGAGACTGGGGAGGGGAACCCTCCCTTTAGATATGTTAAGTGGAGCACAATGGTCAGGATGATCCATGACGCCCACTCCAGTTCCAAGATTAGGGGGCAACCTGGTAGCATCCTAAACTTGCCAGAGGTTGGTGGAACACTCAACATTATGACCAAAATATGAACTTCCGGACCTGCCTACTAACTGGTGCATGGTTTGCAAATTTAGCCCATACTGAAGGTCAAAGTCAATCTGACTGAAAATATTCTGGTGGGATGCCCATGAGGATCTTTTTAAACCCACATGTGTGCAGCACAAACTCCTACTCAAGTCTTCTTGAGTTCTTCTCTTGGAAGAAACAGAAGGTCAGAGAAGATCAGAAATAGTTCTGGTTACCACAGCAGGAGGCATGGAGACAATTAAGTGGCAGAGCTTAGAACTCATGCTCTACTTCCTGACACATTCCTATTCATAGCTTTAAGTATTCATTTTTCCAATCTGTATACTGTTCAAGCTTGTTGGTGTGTGCTGCACTTATATCTTAAACTGGTGTTTATCTGCCACTTTGTGTGTGACTGGCACAATGCTGTCCATCTTCCGCGGGATTTTGCAGTGCCTTCTGGATCTTTTAAATCACAACTGTGTATGACCATGCTGGCTGGAGTTGCAGTCCAAAACATATGGAGGGCACCTGGTTGGTGAAGACTGGTTTACGACATGCATTTAAACTCATTTCATTAATCAACTAAGATTCCATAACATCCCTAATTCTTTTGCTGGACATTTTGCTCAATCCTAAATAACTGGTCTGATCATTGCCACAGCATGCTAATATATTATGAAGCTGTTTGTTGCATGGTGTTAAAAAAAGTGTACCTGTTGTCATGCAGTGTCCCACTCCCAACAGCAACCACCATTTATTATGAATTCACTATATATTAATAATGAAACCTCCAGACTTTTTCTGCTTACAACTTCAAGCCACAGTTTTCCAACACCAGCTCTTCCAGAGTCACTGATTTGCTGAGAACATGGAGAATCTGATCCAGGATATCCAAATTCTAGGGCAGAATAAAATATACTGTGAAGCCCTGCTAGGGAAGGTTCAGGAAGACATTTTACTTCTGACTTATGAAAGAGGCAGAGGCAGTTATTATCAAAGAACTTGTAAATAATTATTGGGGGGGAAATAACAGACATTATATTAATCACTAACCCCTATAACATATTAACAACTAGCAGAAAATTATGGGACAAAAAATGTAAAATTCTCTTTTCTATATTCTGATTTTCTCCCCGCCCTACTCTGAAAACTCACCTTCTCCTACGGAGGTTGTGTTCCAAGTGCCCCTGCTAAATTCAGTGGCTACCAGGATAGGGCCTCCTTGGTAACAGCACCATGTTTATGGAATAGCCTCCCAAGAGAGGCTTGCCTGGCATCATCCGTATGCTCTTTTTGATGGCTGGCACATACCTCCTTATTCAGGCAGAGTTTTTAAACAACTAGTGCTTTTAATCTGAGCGTCTCAGTTTTATAGTTTATATTTTGCTGTAAATCTTCAAGAAGCACATTTTTATTCTTTTTATTGTTTTGTATTGTATTTCTAATATTGTATTTTATTATTTTTTGTGAGCTGCCCACACAAATGCCAACCATCGTTGTTGTTGTCGTCATCATCATCATAAGAATTAAGAAGGATGCTTTTTAAACCAGGTCCATCTAGCCTAGTACTATCTACTCTATCTGGCATCACCACTCCAGGCGCTTTTCACATCACATACTACCTGATGCTTTCAATTGGGGGTGTCAGGGATTGAACCCAGGCCCTTCTGCATGTGAAGCATGTTCTCTGGTGATCCCTCTCCAATTTACATTTATTTGTTTTATTTATATCCCGCCTTTCTTCCATCACAGAACTCAAGGTGTTATACATGGAATTTGCATGCAGTCTCCCATCCAGGCAATGACCAGACCCAGACCAGCTTGGCTTCAGCAAGGAGGCTGCATCTTGTGTTCTTATGCTTCTGTCCATCTCAGGGAAGTCCTTGCCAAAAAGCCTAGCACACTGCACTCACCAGTTTGAAGTCCTTGCAGCACAGCCTTGTGAACCACTGATTCAATGACAGGCTAGTCACACTAACAGCCACATCTCTGCAACAGGAAAAAGCAATATTACATAGAAAATGTATTCTGTCAAGTTGTACCATTAATCCATCTAGCTCAGTATTGCAGACACTCAATGGCAGCATCTCTTCAGGGTTTCAGGCAGGGAAATATCCAAGCCCTACCTACAGATGCCAGTAATTGAACCAGGAATGGGTCCTTCTGCATACGAAGTAGGTGCTCAACAACTCAGCTATCCATTGGCCCCATCCACCTATCCTAATCCACTATGCACCCAACAAGCGATGTAGCTTATTCAGTTCAACAAAGTAATTAGTTTAGAATTTAAACAGTTAAAATCTAGACTCTAAAAGGCACAATTCACCTGATTTTTTTAAAGAACAGTTTATTTTTTTAAAAACCCCAATAAAGATTATTTTAAAATGGTCTAACACAGCAACTCCCCATTTGATCTAGATTCAAAAAAGGCCTGCCTACTTATGGAGGTCTTCAGCTACATTCTAGACAGACACACTTGGGGCCAATGCAGGGAAGATGAGGGGAATTGAAGGGAATCACACAATTGCTTCATTGAGTATCTTGAAACTCAAATGCACACAGCATTGCTCAGCCAAGCTTTGCACTGACACATAAACATGGCTTGAGCTGGGAGACTGAATTCCTGAATTTCTTAGAATACTGCTGATTTCATGCTATTTTAACACTGTATGGTATGACTGCATATCAGGTGATATTCAATGAAGTCCTACTCATTGAAATGAATGAATTTAAATTAGTCATGTTTATTACCTACAATGGGTCTAATCTGCATAGGACTAGCTTTCAATACCACCTCATGGATTTCACCCTTCTCACTCCCCACCCAATTTTTTTTATATGGACTCACTGGCTGTGGAGGTGGTTGAAATCCAGCAGGTTGAACTCCCTGCATTCCTGGCTGTGATAAATATTATCCACATCCTTGAAAAATAAAAATAAAATACATTAGCACATTGCAGGGAGGTAAAAGACCATTTGGCAAATTCACATAATGATGAAGATGCTAACAGTAATACCTAGCCATCTCCAAGCAGAAGAGTTCCACTCAAGAGTAATGATGAGCTTAATATCAGTATGCTGAGCCAGACTTGGCATACCTGTGTCTTAAGAACTACAGTAGTACCTTGGTTTACAAACTTAATCGGTTCCAGAAGTCCGTTCTTAAACCAAAGCGTTCTTAAACCAAGGCGTGCTTTCCCATAGCAGCAGGGGACTCAATTTACAAATGAAACACACTCAACAGGAAGCAGAACATATTCTGCTTCCAAGGCAAAGTTCACAAACCAAAACACCTACTTCTGAGTTTGCAGCGTTCTTAATCCAAGTTGTTCATAACTAAGCTGTTCTTAAACCAAGGTACCACTGTACTTTACAAAAAAAAATTGTACACAGGTCATGCAGGATGGAACTGGGGGAATACGGACACAAATGAGTTGCCAAATCACCATCTGGAAAAAGTGCATGCACACATTAAACTCCTTGATGCAGTGGGAGACAAGGAAACGGTGGCATTTTCTGGCCATTGCTTTTTTTCTGCCACAGAGTTGTGTGTTATTCTTAAGCATGTTGTTTTGGTATGAATGACTAATTTGTGTCTTACCCACTGGATCTCCTCTTGGAAAGGGAGGCCAATGTAATCACAGAGAGCAGCATATGTCTCTGAAAACCCACCTGTAAATGTGAGAGGATATTAGCAGAACATGTTGCAGAACAGAATTTACAGGCTGATCCAAGTTCTAGATCCAAACTCTCCTTTGCCAGAAACTTAGTAGTCTTAGGTAAACCACTATCTCTCAAGCTCAATTAATACACACCTATCTTGCATGGGTGATAAAGAGATTTCAGAGATTATGGTATTTGAAGACTCCAAAAATTATAAGACAGGCCATATAAAAGTGATTACTTTTAAACATTTATATAATGCAGGAAAATCACAAGATATAGATATTCTGAGCCAAGAAGATACTTTGCCCAAATCAAATATTTGGGCCATTAGTAATATCACTCCCATTCCTCACTCCTCAACCCTGCCAACAATCCTTCTGGATACAAAAATAGAAAATACAGCTGTAGATCTATTTAAAAAAAACTATTAAGAAAAAACTATAAAAAGGAGTACATTTGAGATAAAGTAAAGCAGTAGTGGAGAAGAGATGTCAGTTGCCACCAGCTTCATTCCTCCAATTTGTAAATATCTCAACAGACCTCATTTGTTACAACAGCAAATGTAGCTACTGAAAAGTTTGGACATGTTTGAACTATGAGTGCTTTGACTGTATATCAATCTTGTATTTCTTATATTTTTATACTGCCCTTTTTTTGGAAGGAGCTCAGAGCAGGGCACATGGTTTTCCCCCTGTCAAGTTTATCCACACAATAATCCCGTGAGGTTGGTTAGGCAGCATCAGAAAGAATGAATGGGCAAAAGTCTCTCAGTGAGTTTCACAGCTGAGTTGGGATTTAAACCAGGGCTTCCCCAGCCCTAATTCAACCCTCCTAACGACCACACCATGTCACAAAAAGATGTCAATGCTAAAATTCTCTCTTATTTACAACTATTTAAATAGCACAGGAGCCCTGCTGTCCTCCTTGGCATCTGGCCACTTGAAAGCTGCACAACCATAGAAACCATCATCTCATATATACAGCTGATGCACAAAGCAGCCTACTTGCCCAGACCTTTAATGGTTTATAATGCTTAATTGGATGCTGCTGCTTAGCTTTATCGGCAATTTCATCTCCCATTTTACTGTCTGGCTGCTTCTGCTTCTAGTGTTTCATTTTTAAGATGTTGTTTAAAATTGGTTCATATTTTATCATTTTGTGAACAGCTATGAAGATAATCAATAATTGTTAAGGCAGGATATAAATATTCTATGGACCAATCCTATGAAAGGTTACTTGGAAATAACTATTGTGTTCGGTGAAGCTTACTCCCAGGTAAACCAATAGAGGATGGCAGTCTTAATCAAGGGAAAAATTGACCATATGTGCACATGGGGAGATGGCTGCATAAGCATCTGCAGTCCAGGGCAAGTTCTACATAAAATGATTCCTAGAAAGGGTGCCAGAGTGGCAGCTACTAGCAACTCTGTGCTTCTGAAGCCAAGGTCAAAAAACACACCACACACCCTGCAGCCCTATTTTCCAATCTGTGCTTATGCTAAATTCATATGAATTCAGAATTGTCAGATTTTTTAAAGGCTAGAGCACTCTAAGGGAAGTAAGCTTTAGTTTTACCACCAGTTTAATAATATGTTTAAACTTTTAGTTTAAACTTTTAGTTTAAATTGTATGTTTAGGGAAGCTTTAATATTTGATGAATTATTGTATTTTAATGTTTTGTTGGAAGCCACCCAAAGTGGCTGGGGAAACCCAGCCAGAAGGGCGGGGTATAAATAAAACAAACAAACAAACAAACAAACAAATAAATAAATAATAAAAAATAAATAAATAAAATAAACAACTAGCCTTGTATTTAAGCACTCACCTAGTTGCCACACACAACAAGAAACTGCATGCAGGTGGATAAACAAGTTCTGTGCTTCCTCTGCACCCAATATAGGAAACAGTGGGCTGTCTGAGGATGGAGCCATACGTCCCTTCCCTACGACCCCCAGTAGCTCACTTTTTTAAAAAGGCTAAAAACTTTTGTAAGCATATTTTAAAGGCTAGTTAGACTAGGTATAGGGGAGATATTTGATTCACTTTGCAGAGAGGAGCCTACCTAACTCAAACTTTCAGAAACATTAGAGAAACATAGCCATCCTTCAAAATTTGCATTCTCCAAATTTTGCAGTACACTTATCCAGCCAGGGAATGGATAACAAAATACATATACTAGGACAAAATGTGCATATAATTGAATATGTTAATGAAGATAACATTAAATTCATT